ATGGGGCCGTTGTCTATCAGTCTGCTACTCAAAGTGCCTTGAAGATGCTGGACCCCGTGCACCATTTGGGCATCCGCCTTTCTACGGGTGCTTTTCGCACCAGTGCCGTAGAAAGCTTTTATGTTGAGTCAAATGAGTGGTCGCTTCATCTGCAAAGAACCTAAATGTCCTTTGTATACTTCCTGAAGGTGAAAGCAGACAACAGGCACCCCTCATACTCTACTATTAATGACTTGTCGAGCTCCATTCTTTTTCAAAACAAACCTTCAATGAGGCAGCCCTTCTCAGTTCGCCTGAAGGGTCTAGCTGAGGACACTGGAGTGTCACTCGAACACAGTTTAATGGCTCCTGTAGCATACCCGCCACCGTGGCAGTGGCAGACTATAGACTGCGATGTGTCTTTTCTAGAAGTTACAAAACATGCGCCCATTGCCCATATCCGAACATATTTCTTGGAACTTCAACACAAATACACACGTCCTGAGTTTTTTACAGAGGCCTCTAAGTCTAACTCCTCTGTGGCCTACGCTGCTGTTGGCCCTTGCTTTTCGGATGCTGGCCCTCTACATCCAGGCACAAGTATCTTCACAGCGGAAGCTTACGCGATACTTGTGGCAGCTAAACACATTAAACAATTACAAATACAAAAAGCAGTAATTTATACAGACGCCCTCAGTGTGGTAACGGCTCTGCACAGTCTTAAAAAACAAAAAAAACCCTGTCCTTGTCTCACTTTACTCCATATTTTGCACACTCTACACACTCAACCAACATGTTGTGGTGTGCTGGGTGCCAGGGCACCGTGAGATCCAAGGCAACGTGGGGGCGGATCAGCTCGCTGCATCCGTCCACAAAAACACTGCCCCTACACCTATATCAATCCCGGTCCTTGATCTGAAGCCGTCTCTCAAACGAAACCTCAGGGACTACTGGCAGAGCAAGTGGGATACACACACACACAAAACAAACTACACGTTATCAAGCCACACCTTGGCCATTGGCCACCAGTATCAAAATCACGTCTAACAGAGGTAACACTAACAAGACTCAGGATAGGACACATATACACGACACACACACATCTTTTGTCCGGTGGTGATCCACCATTGTGTGATAAATGTGGTGAGGCATTAACAGTTATTCACGTTTTAATTGAATGTAAGCGTTTAGACACTCTAAGAAGACAACACTTCGCACTATCCTACCGACAACATATACCTTTACACCCTGCAATGTTCGTCGGTAGGGAACCGCTTTTTAGTCACAAATCATTATTAGCGTTTTTAAAGGAAATCCATAATTTTCATATCATATACCCGGGCATACCGTAGCACGACCTCTCTAGAGAGGTTTTTGCTGCGGTGGCTACACAGGAAAGCACTTGCCTCACGGCCCTTGCACGCAAGGGTACTAACGTGTGAGGTACTTGTGCTAATGCCATACATGTCCACCATCGTTTTTCATTATCACCAACTTTTGTCACCTATTCACACCATGCACACCTTTCACGGCATTGTCATGATTTTATTACTTGTATGTTTTTACCCGCTTTACTGCGAGGAATTTTATGGCCCTTATACAGCCAATAATCACAACCATTGTCCACATTCCTGTCTCATGAACTGGCGCTCTTTGGCCATCAAATGGCCCTTGCGCCAAAAAACACTATATATCATCATCATCGTCAACGCCTCCTAGATAAACTATGCCGGGAACGTCGCTCTCTTTTCAAATAGGAGCCTCCTGCCAGCACGCGATCTCGGAGGCCATGCCTCCTGCGTTGTGTTGCGACCGGCCGCCGCGTGAGACCGCTCGCCTCTGTACCGCTCAGTCGCGTGACATTACGGCTGCTCGGAGGCAACTGTGAGAGCGTTGCTGTGTTCGCAGGGGGCAGCCGTCGGAGACGCTCGCCTTCGTACCGAAGGAGGGTAAAATCAGAGGGTAGGGCAGAGTGTTCACGGCTCACGTTCCAGGCATAATTTTTTTAGGAAGCGTTGGTCCCGTCGTAATCGTATGTAGACAATTCTCGTTAGTTCTTGAACCATCCGTAGAGGGCAGTACTTGTACATATCTTGCGGTACTTGTACATATTTTTTTCTTTTGTCCGGTACATGCGTTATTATGAAATAATTTGCTATGTCGCTCCTTGTGTTCACTATGAGTGTATGAAACTCTCACCCCAAGCAATCTTTATGCCACTTATTGTTTCGACTATGTCCCCTTGTAACTGCCCACCTGCTTGGACCTAAAGGTCTGCAGTATGTAATAAATAAATAAAAAATAAATATAACGAACTTCATAGACGCTGAAAAATGCAAATGGTATGATACTAGAGAATGTTACTTATAGTATGATAAATTATAAAAATCACAGTATATTCATTAAGTGAATGACGATGAGTGGGGCGAAGCATCCGTCCGTCCTCTAGTGCGTCCATCTGTCCGTGCCTGCGTTCGTCCGTCCATGCGTCAAACAAAAACTGCGGATGGACGCGGCCAGCGGATGATTCACGGTTTGCCGATAAAAAGCTAACGCGCAAGGCGGGGGCGGCTTGAAGTTGAAGCAGTGCTCCTTGAAGGGGAGCGCCGCAGGCCTTGACGCCATCCTCGCTGGTCCCGGCAGGGGCCGACGACGATGGGATCAGGCCTCGAAAAAACTCGCGAGTTTTTTCGCGAAAAAACTCGCGAAAAAAAAGTCGCGAGTGGACACCCGGCAGCAATGCCGCCGGAACGCTGACCGCGTTGAAGACTGGAACGCCGAAGCTCCTTATAGCTGCACCTGTTTGTCCCTCGCAGCCGTTGTAGTAGCGTGTAACAAGTATAACATTTTGACCTCCAAGGTGCTGCAAGTGAGAGATTTCTTCAGTGCGTTGTTGAACAATAAAAGATAGTGCTCAATGTACATGCCAATGGCTGCTAAGGGGGAATGAGAGAGGGGAGAATTGGGCTTTTAGTTAACGCGCACGCTGCGAATTTTTTTATTGCTCAACAACGCACAGCGGACACGAAAAGGTTGCTACGTTATACTCGCTGGGCGTAACCTCCTAGGTTTTAGAAAGGTTTAGCGAGCGTTGGGCCGCAGTGCCATGAATACAGGGATCTAGTATATACCATGAACTCTAGGTGATTAAAGGTTGGATAAAGACAAGAAGCACAAGCCGTAAGAAAGTGTGTGTGCGTCCTCTCGTTCAGTCCTTGGAATGTCCGCTGCATGGTGGTGCTTCTATATGAGGAATATATGAATAAAAGATGCGAGATGGTGGTACTTGGAGTGTTGAATAGGTGGACGAATGGACACACAGACATATGCATGGACGGACGCACGGATGGCTGCACGGATGGATGGACGGACGCAGAAGTGGATGCATGGACGAAAGCAGGGACGGACGCACAGATGAATGTGCGGATGCACGAACCGACGCACGCGCGGACGGGCGGATGGACGCATGGGCGGCCACACAGACGCACGCATGGATGGATGGAAGCAAGAACGAATGGACGGACGGATGCTTCGCCCCACTATTTATCATTCACTCCGTGGATATGCTGCCATTTTTTTCAATCATTAGTCACTATTTGCGTTTTTAAAAGATGTTGGTTGTTTTAACGTGATCTACCCTGGTAATCTTTAGCACGACCTCTGAAGAGAGGCCGCCGCCGCTGATGTCCGTAACCACTAGCACGAAATAAGTGAAAAACAGTAATCAAAACACTAAGGACACGGTGGGACTCGAGCCCATGTCTCCTGCATGAGAGCCCTTTATTTTGCAGTAGAACCACGCCGGTGCTTGAAACTCGGTTGCCAACATGCCTGATGTCGGAAAAGTGATCTGGTTATCATGAGTAATGAAGCGTTTTATTACAGCAAAGGAACAACCAGGCGTCACACAATGTGAATTGCGTAATGAGTGGGTCGTCCAATGTTCTGATGATGATGATGATCTTTGTTACTCTGGCGCACACCCACAAAGGGGGATCAGCCAAGAACCGGGTGGCAGGATCTTTAAGTAAAAGGCTTATGGTTGTACAGACACAAAGTATTCTTGGACTGAAAAAAAATTATATAGAAAGAAAAGCCAAAAATCGAAAAAGGATGTTCTAACCGATTACAAAAACTTGTCTTGATCACCTATTAACGTGGGCACATACCTGCTTCAGGCATAAAAACTTCAACGTCGTCAGCCACTGCATAAAAAAATGGGCACAAAATTACTTGCAAGAGTGCAGTGTATACCTTAGTTCTCTGAATCATGACGGATGATAGCATAGTGAATTGCGGCCTGCTAGATGGCGACACTAAACGGCACCGCCGCACCACGGCCTCCTCCTCGGTGGCGCGGCCGCGATGTGGCGTGTGGCGGACGTTGCCCTGCAGCCTACGGCGAAAAACGGGTGGCGCGGACTAAGCGCTCCGCCCGCTTTGCTGGCCTTCAACCCGGGAGCAGCGGCGGTCAATCGGCAGGCCGTCGGTGACGGTGAAGTGGGAAAGAGAAGGCCATTAGATTACGTGTTTTCAAACGTGGCAGCGTCCGTTCGCCGCTGTTTTGTGAAGCGCGCGCCTCCCTCTCGACTGGTCGCTGGCTGATGAATGTGTAAACTCGTCTCGTCATTAATTTGCGCCAGTAAAATTACTATGCCGCATACTCTCGGCGCAAAAAATGCATTTGCATTTCCTTGCGATTTCCTTCGGAGAGGTGGGGGCAATTTTTTTCCTATTTAGTTCATGACCTTTCTGTCTACCTTTCATTTTTTTCTGGGATTTCTCATTCTATTTGTATTACGTTTTACTCTTTCCCATAGATCGGCAGAGTGTTGAGCCTACTCAGACTCATTCGTCTCTCCCAGTCACCCAGGGTGGGTACGAGCCATGTAAGAAGGAACATCATAATCATCATCACCTACAAATCACCCTCACAGTAGGGTTCTATTATCCTCGGCGGCCGCTGCCCGATTAGCTAGCACTCGCTGTGTGTAGCTCACCTTCGCATTCGCGCTTCCGAGATGGGCACGGGTTTCGATAGAGGCGACAAGGTGGTGATGACACCTCCAGAGCGCAAGACTCTGCGGGCCGCTCCGATGCGAGACCGACTCCATGTAGGGTTAGACGGTTGGTCCGAGCGGTGCGCTAGCCGTGCCGACCCGAGAGCCGAGTGCTTAGGGCGTGCGTCTTCGGCCAGCCGGCTGCTGCTCCTGCTGCTAACTCTCCTCAGGGACTGCGCCGCATTTTCCGCAGAGGAAGCAGCTCTTTACACCCAAGTCGTGGGCTCCAGGTGAACATTTGTTGTTTTTCAGTGCGCAAGTGACTAGCCATTATACTTTTATCACTGACATTAGGTTGGCCCATTTACATCGAAGTCGCATCTACTTAACATGCGGTGCGCGTCTGCGTGAAGCAAAAGAAAAAAGAAAAAGCGCAATTAGCGTCCACAAGCCAACTAACTTCGAAAGGCGCTACCTTCCCGTGTTCATGGGAGGATTCTAATCAGGCTTCAGCTTCCTTTTATCGCGATAGAAATTATATGGATACTCTCGGCTAAATTTTGCCGTCGGCGTCGCCGTCACTCACTGTATATGTATACGTGTCTATATACATGAAAATGTAAGAAAGAAAAATAATCCAGAAAAAAATTGGCCGCGTATCTGCATGTTAATCTGCAAATGTCGTCGAAAAACGATAGTCTTGCGTCTGGAGAGAGTGAACGAAACGTTTATTTAATGTTCTGCGCAAGAAAATCGGTGAATGGTATTCTGGAGGCACTGGAGGCACTGGGTATTCTGGAGGTATTATGGAGGCCTCGAGAGTGCAGCGGAGGCGAACGAGTGCATCAAGTCACGTCACACGTGAAACATCTGGATGGATGGATGGATGGATGGATGGATGGATGGATGGATGGATGGAAAAACTTCATTTCGCCAGAACGCAACTGAGGATGATTCCGTGTTAGATGGCCATCAACCCAAGGTTGGCGGCGACCTGTGTGGCCCACTGCACGACCCTTAACTGGACGACTGGGTCTGAGGTGGTCAACACGGCCTCCCAGTGCTCAAGAGAGGGATCACGCATAATATCCATCGGCGGCGGCACTATGCTACATTCCCAAAGTGTGTGATCATATGTTGCCACAGCCTGACACCATTTGCATTGCGGCTTAATCTCCTCCGGGTACATTTTGTTCAACACGTAAGGGTTGGGAAAAGATCGCGTCTGCAGTTTTCTCCAGACGCATTCCTGCGCCTTAGTCAACCGCTTGTGCGGGGGCGGATAAAACCTCCGCTCTAGTTTATAATGATTCGTTATGTCATGAAAGGACACCAGCCCATCTCTCGCGGACCTCCCCGGAACTTGCGGCTCACCTACCCGGCTGACGAAACCTCGAGCATTCAGGTGAGCCGCCTCGTTCCCAGGGTTCCCAGAGTGTGCTGGTACCCAGACAATTTCTATTTCGCTAATTTCTCGTCCCGTGGCCCCATGCAGAAATCGTGCGGCGGTCGCCGATATTCTGCCCCTCGCCAGATTTCTGATGGCTGTCTTTGAATCACTGATAATCAAATCTGACTGCGAATTAGTTATAGCTAGCGCTATTGCCGCTTCCTCTGCAGTTTCCGAGGAGCGGGTTTTGACCGATCCAGAGGCGACCAAGCGCCCCCGCCTGTCCACCACGACAATCACAAAAGCGTCTTTGTCCTTATATTCCGCAACATCTGTATAGACTGCCGCTTTGTACTCGCCGTACTCAACGTGTAAAGCTCTGGCTCTTGCCTGCCTGCGCTGCGTATGGTGGATCGGATGCATATTTTTGGGCAAAGGTTTTATGTACAGGGCCTTATGTAACTCTCGCCGCACCTGAATTTTAGTGTCCCCAGTGGGAGCCTCTGCTCCAATGCCAATCCTTTGCAATATGATCCTGCCCGCTTTGGTTGTCGAAAGCCTAGCGTGCTGCATCACCAGATGCGCCTCCCATAATTCATCCAGGGTGTTGTGTACCCCTAGTTTTAACAGCCTTTCTGTAGGCGCGTTGTTAGGCAACCCAAGCGCTGCCTTGTAAGCTTGCCGGATCATAGCCTCGACCTTACCTTTTTCTGCGGCATCCAATTTCATATAAGGTGTCGCGTAAGTAATCCTGCTGAGCACAAACGCCTGTACCAGCTTACAGAGTTCTTTTTCTTTAACCCCGCTCTTACGGTTAGTGATTCTTCTGATTAGCCTGACAGTAGCATTGACCGTGGTCTTAAGTTTTTCAAGGGCCACCCTATTCTTCCTGTTAGTTTGCAGACATAGGCCAAGAATTCTAATCGTTTGAGCTTCAGCTACCGGCCTACCCCCTACCTTTACCTCTAACGGTGGTGGCGGAATATAGTGTCTTGCATGTAGCCCTCTGGGTTTGTCCCGAACCACAAAAAGCTCGGACTTGGGCTGAGAGCATGAAAGTCCCGCCTCCCCTGCCAACTCTTCGACAATATTAACTGCCTGTTGCAGTGTTTCTTCCAGGTGCGCGTCACTACCCCTGGTTACCCATAGAGTAATATCATCTGCATAAAATGTGTGTTTGAGTCCCGGTATCTCCTCCAGCCTCGGCGGTATCTTAATTAAGGCGATGTTAAACAGGAACGGTGACAAAACTGTACCCTGCGGCGTCCCTTTGCCTCCCAACGCGAATGAGTCCGATTTGATACCTCCTATTGAAACTTCTGCGGTTCGGCCCTCCAAGAATGATCTGATGTAGCGAAATGTCCTGACCCCTGGGCCAATTTCCGATAGGTTATTCAATATTGCCTCATGCGAAACATTGTCGAAAGCTTTATTCAGGTCAAGCCCCAATACAGCTTTGGTGCCCGTGCCATGCCCGGGATCGACTACATCATGTTTTAACTCTATCATGACATCCTGTGTGGACAAATTGGCCCTGAAACCTATCATGATTGGGGGAAAGATGGCCTTGTCCTCTGCATAATTCTGAAGCCTGTTGAGAACCACGTGCTCCATCAATTTGCCCACGCATGATGTCAGCGATATGGGGCGCAGGTTTTCCAAGCAGAGTTTCTTGCCTGGTTTCGGAATAAATATAATCCTAGCATGCTTCCATTGTGCTGGGATCTCCCCGGCCACCCAATACTCATTTATCAAGTCAGTGATTGCCCCGACCGATATGAAATCTAGGTTTCTCAGCATTTTATTAGTAACTCCATCCGGACCTGCGGCAGACGTAGTACGCAGCTGCCTTATGGCAAACTCTACCTCCACAATTGTGAACTCTTCATCTAGGTCTGAGTTTTCCACCTCCGAGTAGTGTGGTAAGCAACCGTCTACTCCATCAGTTATGTACCGATTCCGGAGTTCCTGTATAAACTCTTCAATTGTGCCTTCATATTGATGCATTAACCGAGTCATTTGTCCCCGTTGCGCCGATTTTGTTGCTGCCGGATCCAAAAGATGCCTTAACAGCAGCCATGTTTTTGCATCCAAACTGTCCATTCATGCGATCACAAATCTGGCCCCACTGCTTGGCTCGCAACTCAATTGTATAATTTTCGATTTTACGTTCTAACTTGGCAGTCCTTCTGCGAAGGACGCCATTATGTTTTTGCTTCTTCCACCTTCTCAAGAGACTCGCGTGCGCTTCCCACATGTGCAATAGTCTCGAGTCAGCGGTAAACTCCTTCTGCTCGACTGGCACTTCTACCGTGGTATTATTTACATACTCCTTGAGCGCCTGTACCCATGCATCCAGGTCATTAATTTTCCCGTTTACAGTGTCTGCTCTGTTTTTCCTAAATCTGTCCCAATCTGTAATCCTATGCCCCCTCACTTTGTCTTTATGCTTCGCAGCGCTAAACGCCGTGGAAAGGATATAGTGATCACTTCCTAGGGCTTGTCCCGTGTTAATCCACTTTGCATTACTGATGCCTCTAAAAAACGTAAGGTGTGGGGAGGTATCCATGCTTATGCTGTTGCCTATCCTCGTATGATCTTGTGGATTGTTTAACAGCGTCCATCGCAGATCCCGGGCAACTTGCCAAAGCCGATTGCCCTTTGGGCTGGCTCGAATATAACCGCACTCCGGGTGAGGCGCATTGAAATCTCCTACCACTATAAGCAGAGCGCGAGCTGCTAACCGTTGAGTTTGAATCAGGAGTTGTGGCAAGCCCAATCCTTTATCTTCTGGAGAACTATACACATTAAGTAAAAACAGACTCTTCTCATACTTTCGTTTAGGCAAAATCTCTAGCAGGACATAGTCTTCTCTGCTGCTATCTACGGAATGCTGAATGGCAGTGATGTTGCGATGGACTAGCATGGCTGTGAAGACGCGTGATACGTCCCTTGAATCAATTCCTGGCGCTGTAAATGCCTTAAATCCAGGTAATTTTACGGAACCACTAGCCTCCTGTAAGGCTATTATGTCTGGTTTACTGTCCAGATTTTGTACGTGCAACTGCAGGTTACCCCGCTTTTGACGAAAGCCCCTGCAGTTCCACTGCCAAACCTCAATTTGCTCGCGAGGCGCCATGATGAGGCACCAGGTTGACTAATGGCACTTGGCCACCCACGGGAGGCAGTCTTGCCTCCAATAGAGTATGAAGCTGCTGAAACATGCCCATGACCTGGCTTTGGGAATCCCTAAATTCAGTGGAGAGCATGCCGAGACGCTCCTCTATTGTGTCTAATCTGGCTTCGATCTTTTCGACTCGAGCCTCCAACCTATCCTGTCTTTTCCCTTGTTTGCCTACTTTATCCGCAAGTGTTGTTACATCCGACTTAAGACTAATGACCTTAAAAACAGGCTGTGGCATGTCCACTGGTGACGTTTCGGCTAATCGTTTTGCGTTAGCTACCTCATTCCCCGGCAGTGGTCTCTTCACTGTCCCCCGATTCTCCACTTCCATAGCTGCACTCTCCTGTACGCGAGCAGCCGCCTCTTGCGTCGCTTTCTGTAGGCCTTGCACTGCTGGTTCCTGTGTCCCCTGCCGTTGGTTGTTTCTAAGTGTGCGTTCCATCTCTGCAATTCTGTTTTCCATTCTTTTAATCATGTCTCCCTGTCGCTGAACCAGCGCTGCTAACTCCCTCTCTCGAGCGGTTTCGTTCTGGGAGGCCGTGCTTGACAAGCTCACCTTTTTGTTGGTCTCGCGTGCGCAGCTGTTGGTACTGGATGCTCGTCCACCATCTTGGCCGCCCCCGCGCCCAGGCAATGGCGGGAAGGAACTCGACCGGTCCCTGCTTTTGCTTGTGCCTTCTTTACCCCTCGGTGACCGCTCCGTGGCCCTCGAGGACCGCTTATCGTTGCCAGCTTCGCTCTCTCTTTCGATGCTCTGCTGCCGGCCTGTCGGTGGCTTGCGAGCCAGGCGAAACTTGCAGTTCCGGCTCCCTGTGTGATGCGCACCATGGCACACGATGCAGTCCGGCGTGCACGTAGGTGGCTCTCCTTCTGGCAGGGCAGGATGGTCCTTCCCGCAATGGTGACATAGGTTGCTCTTCGGACGATAGCAAACGTCCGCTCGATGTCCAACTCGCCTGCAGTTGTAGCAGGTCTCGACTAAATTTCTGTACGGGATCACAGCGTACAGACAGTTCTAGTAAGTAATCTGCCGGGGTATGCGTTTTCACCCGAACGTAATCTGAATCGCCTTTGACTTTCCCAGAGGTCTCGCGTCCAGAATGTCTATGCCTTCATTCTTCTTCAGGAATACCGCCCGAACTTCTTCCACTGGGCATCCATCATAAGCATTGTAAATCACTCCCCGCACGGAGTTCTCCAGCGGCGCCACGAACGCTGAAACCGGCAGGTCACGATCACCCAGCTTGAGCGTCTTCACAGTCGCATATGCCCCACTGCGATTTATGCACGGTGTGCTCACCGTCAACGTGTTGTTTGTGCCATTAACCCGCACAATGTTTTCCTCCGCGGCAATCGCACTCGTTAGACGCGCTGCTGCTCTCAGTGCACATCCGAGTTCTCTCGCTGTCACAACACTCAAGTCCCAGTTCTGGGGCCTGTACACAATCTTGAAATCCGTGGCTGGCAACTTGAGAAGCGGTCCACGTTTCTTCCATACCGGTGCTTTCTCCCGCTTGACTTGCTGCGCTCCGTGCGTCTTGCGCCCGTCGCTGCCGGCCTGCGTCTCGCAAGGCTTACTCTTGGCGTTGTCGCCATGCTGAGTCTTCTTAAATTGGTCCTGTGCCTTCAGCCCTGGAGCCCACTCTCCCGCTTCAAAATCTTCGGGTGTTATAGTTTCCCCTTCGACGTAGTATTCCATCTTCAGCCCAATAAGGCCCACGGTCACCGGGCGCAAGTCAGACGCCCGGCGACGCGGCCCAGGCTTGGCCTAGGAGATAGGCCTAGCCTTGCCACCGCGAAGTTGATAGGAAAATCTCGGACACTCCAAAAACGATGACAAACTTGCCTAAACGAGTGGTGTCCGTAGGTGCAGGACAACCTCCTGCAGACGAGCCCACTGACAGCAAGTCCAGAAAAAAGCGCGTCCGCCGATAGTCGGTCACCGTGCCGGAGCTCATGCGAAACACGTCCGCACAGCGTCTCACTCCAGCCGCGTCTGCCTGAAACAACTGGAAGTTATCTTGGAAAGCGAAGCGCGCGGCTCTGAGGCGGGCGCGCGCGCCCGTCTCAGAGCCGCGAGTTGTGGCGATGCTTGCACCGTTAAAACATCGTGCGGCTTCGTCACCGTAACAGTTGACGTCCCACCAGGAACTTGGCAGACTGACGTCATGGACTCCTTGCTGCACAACTTCTGTGCGGCGTGCCTACAAGATATAGCGGTGATAAGTCACCGAAGACTGCAACGTTAATGTACTTTGACGTAAAAATCAGTGGCCCGTCACGTTTATCGATGCCGAACTTGGACTTTGCCTCCCTGACGGACATCGTGCAGTCAGCTATTCGAACACCTGTTTAGATACTGTGGTTACTGTATTACTGTCCATTCAAGTACAATCGACCATGGTCGCTACGTTTCATGTGCTTTCTAAATATCGTAGCCTTACTTCATTTAACAGCCCAATGTGTTCCTATTGCATTCATTGCTTCAGCCTTATGCCGGAACTGTGACTTTTTGTGCACGTTTTACCGCCGCCACATAAATATGGCAGTGAAATAATGGTGTACCCTGGCAAAGAACACTTCCGTGTTAAAAAGGAACAACTGATCATAGCGCGCGCCTAGCATAATGAAGATAAGTGCAAAGGTTACCTATGTAAGCGTGACCGGGAAAGGACGCGACGTTCTGCACCGCCGCTTCGCGCATAGACGCTGCAGCAGGGTTTGTCGACTCCTGACACGGCGCTGAAAAGTCACTCGTGGCATGTCATCAACAAACGGGTATAATAATTTAAGGTGCAGTCCAGTGCAACCATCGCAGGATTGCGGGTTGTACATGGTAATTCTGCTAGACCGATCAAGTTAGCGCTTGGTGGGGACCACCAAACGCACCAACGAGAAGTCGCCTGCCAAGGCAGTGCGTGACTCTCTCTCAGAGCTGGCGTGTGGTGTGAGCAGCTCCCCAGGCGAGCAAGCGCCAGACAGGAGCAAGTTAGCGGGGCAGGGGTTGCGACTGGAAGCCAATAAGGACAGGAGCACCAGAGCTGCCGATCTCGCAACCTTGCCACCTTACCGTGCTCCCCGCAGGTACACCAAATCTTCGCCACCGCAGACGGCTGACAACAAGACCGAGGTCTTCATCCAACTCGAAGTGACGTTCGTGAGCGACATCCGGGTTGGGGAGTTGGGGGGCTTCCAGCTGCACGCCTGGGTGTCGCTGCTGTGGCGCGACTCGCGCGTCAACGTCGAGCTCCTGCGACAGCTGGGCTATCGCATTATGCCCGAGTTCCTGGCGCGCAGCGTATGGCGTCCTGGCGTCGTCTTCGAGGGCGTCGGCGAGGTGGCCCGCTTGGACGAGCCGGACGTCTTCGTCAGAGACGACGACTTCTTGCTTTCTCGCCAGAGAGCCGTATTCCAGGTGAGCAGCAGACTCTCAAACACCACTGTAGGCCACTTCGAAGGCACGATCTGCACAGTTATCACGTCACTTCCGTCACCTACACTTCGATTGTGTCTATCGTAAAGCGGCGTTTTTTCACTGGTGTATTTTGAAATGACCGTCTTATTTTGAAATGTGATGTATTTCGGTGCATTAAAAGATTGTTGATTAGACACTCGTGAATTCGAAAAATCGGGTAATGCGGTTGTCCCTGCCAGCATATACATTGTTTGTTCGCCACAAACTCTCGCTAATTCAGAGATCTTTGGCCGCAATCCAATTATTTCGGGCGATCGTCGGAGCATGCCAAGCACTCACGAAGCGCCGCAAATATGCGACGTAATGGAGCAAAAACGGTCGAGGCTTTGCGAATAATCGAAAGTGCTTTCATTGATTGAAATTTGAGGTTTAACGTCCCAAAACCACCATATGATTATGAGAGACGCCATAGTGGAGGGCTCCGGAAATTTCGACCACCTGCGGTTCTTTGACGTGCACCCAAATCTGAGCACACGGGCCTATAACATTCCCGCCTACATCGAAATGCAGCCGCCGCAGCCGCGATTCGAGCCCGCGACTTGCGGGTCAGCAGCCGAGTACCTTAGCCACTAGACCACCACGGCGGGGCATAATCGAAAATGCTGAGGGCTTTCAGAAAGCCGTGGTCACCACCCACAATCGCGTTGTTTGTAGGTAATGAAGTATGGGTATAGAGTGCATTTGAGTTTCAGACACAAAGCCTTGAGCCATGTTCACATAATGAACGAACTTGCATATCCGGCTTTCGTGCTACTTTTAAAGCCCAACGATGAACCAGGTATTTGTGATTTGTTTTCTTCATGCCTTTGATTATACAATTAATCCGGACAGTTTTGCCAGACCCGTGAAATACGAATTAACAGCCTTTTAACTAGGGCAGCTTTGTGCTACATCTCGGCAAACGTTGCCATTTTACAGGCCCTTCTCGTTTATCACACGTGGGTCATTTCTATAAAAAAATGGCGCCAAGATTCCGACAACCCTAGCGATGCAGATCTCGAGCTACAAAATGTCTAAAACCTGGACTACGACTCTCAGTTTTCCGTCACGATTTTGTGTCAACGGACGGTGCCAGCGCATGGGGTAGCTCACGAAAAAAATGCTTAAAGTGAGTTATTCATTTGTAGCTCTTCAACATATTCGTCTAGAGAAATAGGAAGAAAAAAAGTCAAAATAGGAGTCTGGTTTTCGAACCTCTAGCGAGAGGTCGGGCCGTAGCTTATGTCTCTTGACAGTATAGTATGAGACTTCGAGTGTTTTAATCCTCAACTATACATTCGTATTCTATGTATCATCTGAAAAACCGAAACCGATCGTGGAAGTGTTGTACGTCATAGATAAAGCTGTTCTCGTTTATAAAAAAAAAACACTTGTTTTAGGTTACTCTCACTGACAATAGCAATCTCGGTACTGACTATGAGGACATTTGTTCCCAACTCACTTCTGGGTAAATAATTGTATCGGGCCAGTTGGTATGAATCCATCTTGGTAGGAAGCGCAGCCGCTATTACACAGAACACACAACACAAGCGCTTAACTTCAACTAAACGTTTATCGTAAAACGCCAGAGTTTTTAAAGGGGGTGAAAGAGAAAAAATAATAATAAAAGGCAGACAACAAAAAGCACACGTGCCAGTCCCCTACATTACTTATCCGTTATTATCTATCACCGCATCCAAAAAACAAAGTTCTTTCCGCGTGAGCGAGATAGAGGGTGCACTAACACACTCAAAATCATCACGTGTCATTTCCCCAGCTTCTGCTATCAAACGGGTTAATAAATCTCTGTACGTGTTATCGAAATACGGCACACACTCCTTACAGTGGATTGCCAAGTGACCATCGGTACCCTTTTTCACTTTAATGTAGTGCTCTTTTAACCTTTCATTTATGCGTTTTCAGTTGTTCCCACATAAACAAGACCACATGACAAGGGCACTCTGTAAACAGCCGACAGTGCACACTCAACATATTTATTGCAATGCTTAATTTGGCATCCTTTCTTTTCTTTCGAAACAGGACAAGTTTTGTGACATATTCTTGACAGTATCTCTGGAGCAGACATGACCACTCGGACGCCCACCTTATATACAATCTTTTTAAGATTGTGTGCCACACCATGGCTATAGGGGACAACAGTCGTTTTACGCTACTGCAGGGAAGTGTTAATACGCTGCCTATTTTGTTTCTTTAGGTCCCTATGTAGCGATTCAGCGACGCCTATAACCATTCGTTGCAGGTAACCTGCTGCCTGCAGTCGCAAAACCTGTTACTCAAAGCTCTTCATCATGAGGTGAAAACAAGACTTCTTCAAGGAATTAAAAAGGCATATTCGTGCGACAGACCTCTTCACTACTTTGGTATGGGCAGAAGAGAAAGGCAACAATGGCTTTTTGCTCCAAGGCTCATAAAGCCAACAAACGTGGTCATCCTGAAATTGCAACGAAAAATCTAGGAACATGAGCGTGTTACCATATGTGGCATTTCATGTGTTAGTTTCAGAGGCTGACAAACTGTCTCATATACTCCAAGTGTCAAAACAGCAACACTTTGAAACTCTTCGGCATCACACTTAAAAAAACAAATAATCGTCCACAAACCTGAAGATCTTTAAAACCTTAGTTCCCGACAACCTCTCATCAATTATTCTAAGTGGGCCATAAAAATATTACTAAGGACGGGTGCAATAGCAGAACCAATATAAATGCCCTGTTTTGGGATATAGGTGTTCCCATTCCAATTAACGAATGTGGACGTTAATTTCTGGGAGTGATACGCCAACTCCCAGGTCCTATGCTTGGGCCAGCGGGACAACTTCATCCTAGGCGTCACCGTGTGCAGCCTAGTGGTCAAGCTGCTTCACGATGCTGACGGCGCACCGAACCTCGTCTGGATCGGCAACGACACGGTGAGCCCACTGCACGGACAGTATGACAGTGTCACCGTGCACGGGGATGTGCGTCCGCTCGTCTACACGCTCGTCAAGGTCGAGCCTGTCCAACGCGACGACACGTCAACCGTCGGCAGCACCCCCACCGTTGCGGCCGACTTCCACTTCTCAAAGGTAAAGTGCGTTTTGGCAAGTTCGTCTTATCGCGTCTACATTGCGAAATACGTTAATGGTCAACGCCTTCTTTCTTTTCCTTTATCACGATTGCAGCTATACGGCCACGCTTAGCGAGGTTTCACCGTCGGCGTGGGCGCAGCCGTAATATTAGCTTAAACATCACCTTGCGCGTAGCATGATCTATGCGCGAGCAAAAGTGTGCGAGGGCTGCCTTCGATCGGTGCGCGACTGAATAATACTGCTGTTCTTATATATGAGATAATTTTGTTCCACCTGACATTATTGAGTGTGCACAACCATAGAGAATGCTCAAGAATATTTCCAATGCATCTCCGAGGCGCCACTTAAAAGTGGCAGTGAGGATTCAACATAGTCACTAATCACAAATAAAAAAAAAATGTACGCGCCCGGACCAGCCAACCAAGCTAAGCTGCGCAGCCGAAAAGTTTAGTGATAATAATAATATTTGGGGTTTAACGTGTCAAAACCACGATATGATTATTAGAGACGCCGTAGTGGAGGGCTTCGGAAATTCTGATCACCTGGGGTTCTTTAGCGTGCACCTAATTCACGAGGCGCAAACATTTCTGCCTACATCAAAAATGCAGCCGCCGCAGCCGGGATTCGATCCCGTGACTTTCGGGTTAGCAATCGAGCGCCATAACCACGCCCTACGCCTCCTAGAAAAACTATGCCTGGAACGTCGGTCTCTTTTCAATTGGGAGCCTCCTGCCAGCACGCTATCTCGGAGGCCATGCCTCCGGCTTTGTGTTGCGACCGGCCGCCGCGTGAGATCGCTCGCCTCCGTACCGCTCAGTCACGTGACTTAACTGTAGCTCTGTCACGTAACATCGCGGCTGCTCGAAGGCAACTGTGAGAGCATTGCTGGGTTCGCAGGGGACGGCCGTCGGAGACCCTCGCCTTCGTACCGAAGGAGGAGGGCAAAATCAGAGGGTAGGGCAGCGCGTTCGATGCTCACGTTCCAGAGGCGTTTCCACGCCATAACCAGTAGACCACCGCGGCGGGGCCGGCCGGAAAGTTTTGTCATACATCATGGTGCTTCTTCTGCTTCCAGGTGACGTGGTCGTTCCTGCTGTCCACCTACGTGCCATCCACCATGGTGGTGATCGTCTCCTGGATCGCCTTCTGGGTGGACGCCGGCGCGGCCGCCTCCCGGGTCACTCTGGGCGTCGCCTGCCTGCTTATGCTGGTAGCTCAGGTCGGCCACAATCGCATCGCCAGCCCGCACGACACCCAGCTGCAGCCGGGCGACGTCTGGTTTTTCGTCAGTGCCGTCGCCGTCTTCTGCAGCCTCCTGGAGTTTGTCCTGGCCCACGGCGCCCACCGCGACCAGGCCAGGGCGCAGGGTGTGGGCGCCGTCGGAGCCGCGTCTGCCGTAGCCGAGCCCCGCTACCGCGTCTACCGCAGGCCGCCCACCATGAACACGCTGACGATTGTGTGCGACACTGCTAGCCAGACGGACCGTTCGTACCGTGCCTACCAGGCCAACGAGCTGGACGTACTCGCCAGGGTCATCTTCCCCATTGCGTTCATTCTCGTGGCGTCCCTATATTTTTTGTGGTACGCGGCGTCGTACTAGTGGACGAGGTGGACGAGGATCGTACTTTTTCCTCCGTACCTTGTGAACACAGTGCGTGACCAACGCATTCTTCGGCGACATCTTGACACGCGTGCTTAAACACTGCAATAATGTTGAATGTATTTAAATGTGTTCAAAAATATATTTCATTGAAGGTTTCAACTTTATACTCTCTGTGGTCGCATTTCGATTGTGCCTGCGTCCAACAGTTAGGGAAGAGCTCAACTCACTTCGACAATCGCCTGCATGTTTTCCGTTTTGTCTGTTGAATTCTGGTGCTATTTATTTATTAACTTGTTCTAGAAAAAGATGTATAGCGAACTTCAAGCTTGTCCACTGGTGAATCATTGGTAAACCGAAAGTGTTCTTTAGATGACCCTTCATGCAAGTAAGGCTTTCGACGAATTGTCGCCGTAGTTTATTTCTCATCGTTGATACATTGTAATTTCGAAACTTTGTAAATGGTGCGTTGAAATTTGTGAGTGGAAAAATGCAAATAAAATTATTTACTATACCAAAATAAACATTAAATATTATCAAGGACTTGTTTTTTTTTCTTGGACACTGCCAGGTGAAATCATAAACACTAGCACTAAATTATTTTATGTTTTCCTAGGCCTGGCTGTATTAACTGTATTGCAGTGCTTATGACAATCGCAAACGACTTAGTGGTCGAGAAATCGACATTTGCCGCAGTTGGAGACCAAACCTACAGCCTTCGTTGCGCGTCCAACGCATAAGGCGGTGCCCCGCCGTGGTGGTCTAGTGGCTAAGGTACTCGGCTACTGACCCGCAGGTCGCGGGATCAAATCTCTGCTGCATTTCCGATGGAGGCGGAAATGTAGGCCCGTGTGCTCAGATTTGGGTGCACGTTAAAGAACTCCAGGTGGTCGAAATTTCCGGAGCCTTCCACTACGGCGTCTCTCATAATCATATGGTAGTTTTAGGACGTTAAACCCCACATATCAATCAATCAAATCAGCTTAAGGCGGTATTCGTTCCACATTATGGTATTTTTGTGCGTGGACGCGGTAGTGTAAGCCCTGAGTTGCTCGCAGTCGTAAAGAAGTTAATAGATGAGATAAATCAACAAGGTTATAACTGTAGCGCATCTTTTTGAACGACTGAAAAACAATTATTGCACTCTTTCCGTTCTACCTACGGTTTCTTTTTTTTTGGGGGGGGGGGGGGAAGGGGTGGAGTTGGTGTAGATATTGAATACGGAAAAGGTCTCGCTATATTAAGTAATCGATTCTTGGCCGATCCCCATGAGTGGCATGTTGTGGATTCATCATCATCATCATCATCATTGACACTTACAATTGCTAAAGTTGAATAGGGTAGTGGGCTCACTCGCCAGCCGGCGCCATGCATTGCGGTGACGCCGCCAATGTCACACAAACGTGCTTCGGCGCGCCTCCGCGGTGTGGCGCCACCGCCGCTATAAATGTAGCGAGCGTTGGCGCTGGGGCAGTTGCTGCCTGTGTGGAGTGGTGGTCGGTGTGTGCGAGTTTTGTTACTTTGAGAACTCGTCGCGCTTTGCATCCTCAATCCCCTAGGTTCTTCGGTGAACAGTGATGTGGCCTGACAAGCAGTGACCCTCAAACGAGCTTAAAATGCTTCCTCGGCGGCAAAACCACTGTTTTGTGCCAGGCTGCCGTACAGGTTACGTCCACGTGAAGGACAGCAAGAAACCGTCTTTGTTCGGCGTTCCGAAGGATGCAGCCCCAAAGAAGCAATGGGAAAGAAATTCGCATCGAGCGGACAAAGTCCTGGACGACACATCTGCCGTGTGTGACCTTCATTTTCAGCTGAAGTATGTGCTACGGGACTACGTGCATATAATCTACGTGACTGGACTGCGTGTGACTATAACCAGTGTGCTAGAAATGCTTTCTTATTTGACAGGGAAAGTAGCATTTAAATACATAATGACATCAAAGACCAGCCAAGACCCATTAGAAAATTTATTTGGTATTATACGTCAGTCATCCGGCAGCAACGACCACCCACCGCCAACTCAGTTTTTGCTAACCATTACTTGTCTGTCATTCTATGGTCTCGTGAAAACAGTTAGCCAGGGGAATTGTGACCAAGGCGAGCTAGCTTCATTGCTGGAGATCAATGCTGCTACTGACACACTGCCACAAGACCATTCAGTTGGCAGTGCAAGCACTGTGAATGAGCCTATAGTGCCAGCACCTATTGACCACAACCAGCATATTGCTAGAAGTGATTCCAGGCTGATATTTTATGTTGCTGGCTATATTGCGCGAAAGTGTGTCATTAAAACAAACTGCGAAGTTTGCATAACACTACTCACGATGCCAGCTCAAGGAGAAGATTTTCAGCTCACTCATATAACCACCTTTTGTGACAAATTAAGGTGGACTGTTGTATCCATCTAGCCACCTGTACAGTTTTGTGAGCAAGCTAGAAAACATGTTTACAGAGTGCTTTTCTTGCTACAAGTTGCATTCTGACAGCATTTTGGATGCATTGACAATCGTGAAAGAAAAGTTTTCCCAAGAAGTTGGGTGCGCACATCATGCCCCTGGCCTCTCAAAAGACGTAATCAGCTTTTATATTGTTACGCGGTTTTGTGAAAGGCATTAATTCTGATATAACCGAGAAGCGGGAAAAGGCAAAGCATCTAAAGTTGAGCCGCTGCTCCTGAAGAAGAAATATCCAGTAAGCAACTGTGCCCAATATATATCTGATGAATAAATTTTCATGTACTTGTGCCCAGTACTTGGGGGGAGTGGCTTTCTGTTCTTATCTGTGGATTTTTGCAGTCTTTGCATTAAGTATTCAGTGCAGAAATAGCCGAATTACAGAGCCAAGATAATGGAGATCTGCAGAAAGAATGAGCAGCTGAAAATGTTTAAGTGCTGTGAAATGTATAACATTAAGGCACTCATTGCCCTCTCGCTCCACGGACCACATGATGGATACGCAGACCAGTCAAGACGCCGATACGCAGGTGAACAATGAGCACAACACACATCCATGGATCACTGTTACCAAAAGAGCGAACGAACTTTCACAGCTGCAACCCCATACCGTACCGACTCAACAGCTGCCCAGCACGCCGTCTGAGCCCACTCTACGCCAGAGCCGGCCTAAGACGCGTCTACCAAGACTCCCACCACTCCCTTCCGAGGACTACAAGCTAGCAATCCGTCCCCATGGTGGATTGAATCTGAGCAAGGTTAGCCCCAAGACGTTACTTCTCGCCGTAGCTCATGCAGCGAATATACGCAGTGAGAATCCTGATATCAAGCTTCGAGTTGACGAAAACCAAAATGTGCTAAGAATAAGCACCTCATCTGAACACATCGCCACTGCTCTTGGACAAATCACCAAAATTACAGTGCACGCAGCAACTTACGACATCACCTCTTATGGTATTGCGCCTGATAATTCGTGCAAAGGGGTGGTCAACGGAATAGGCCATGAAATCACACCAGACTACTTCCTGACAGAAGTTGAAGTACCGGGCTACGAGGTCCTTACGTGCAGACGCCTCGGCAACTCCGGAGCAATGGTGCTCACATTTTGTGGCAAGCGAGTCCCTTTCTTCGTCAACGCGTACGGACAGGCTCTTCGCTGCTACCTCTACAAACGGACTATTCCCCACTGTAGAAAGTGCAACAAAAGAGGACGCTGCGAGTATGTGTGCCCACAGCCTCCTGACACACCGAAATGTCGCGTTTGCGGGGATTCACTATCACCCAACAACCACGAGTGCCGCCCTTCTTGCATGCTTTGTGGTGGCGACCACCCGACGGCTGCCAAACCATGCCCAAAGCGGTTTTTGCCACCAGTCAACCAACGCAAACCACCCTGGTCAGCTACTCCGACCAAGAAGGCCCAGTCACCATCTCCCAGCCCCGGACGGCAGAGCAGTGCATCTGGCAGTGCAGCCAGGCGAAGGAGCCATTCCAGGGATAAGTCGGCGCCCAAGCGAGGAAACTCGTCATCGCGGAGCGGTTTCGCTGGCCAGCCGGGATCTCAAGGCTGGCACACGGACGGGACAACGCATCATCATGGCCAGCAAAGCGGTTCCCACAAGAAAGCACAAACGGTAAGCTGGGCAGGGCAGTTCCTCCTCTCCCTCCCTCTCCACACCAGTCCCACTCCCTCACACAAACATCAACGCAGGAAAGAACACCACAGCCAACGCCACCTAGACTACCACAACCCATGTCAGTAGACACTCAACTTCACCCTGACATGTCGTCAACTACGGCACGATCCGACTATTGCACACGAGAGGCGTTGAACGAAATGGCTACTTCTTTAAGGAACGAATTCGCAGCTATGATGCAAGTAAAAAATGCAGAAAATGAAGGATAGCATTATGGCTGAACTAAAAGCCCCACTCCAACAATTGATCCAGCTGGCCCTGCAATCTGCGGTCCAGCAGATTGTAACGGATGTTAAACAGCAGATATCGGCTGCACTTGGCCAACTTAATATTGCGCCATCTGCACCAAAACGCACCACGTCTCCGACACGTGAAACACAGCGACCGCATCCTTACATACGCCCATCCCGTTTCCTATCACCATCCCGAAAAACCGTCCCAACAGCCACAGCTGCTGCAGTCCCGCTTCCCACCACCCTCCACCAAGATTTAGCACAGTCTGAAAGGCCTCCATGTACTACCGAGGCCCGGGGTGCACTACAGGCTCCTAGTCAGGTTGTTCGGCGTTAGTAAGAACAAAGCTCTGCGCAGTGGCGGAGAGCGATCCCGCGCGCTGACAAGCCGCTTCAAGAAAACTTGGCTGTGTGCAAGCTGCACTTCGACGAGAGGTATGTACATCTCCCGGCACTTCGAGCTCACTGTGAACGGCGAAATGGTCCGCATAGAAAGGGGTAGGCCCATAGGCGTGCTTGTCGTTCAGTGGGGGGGGGGCGAAGGTTCGTTGCAGTGCGCCCCCTCCCTATTATTCAGTGTATGAGGCATAATTTGCGCCCCCCCCCCATCGATGACT